ATCAGCATTAGCATCAGCATCGTCATCACCACCATCATCACCAGCATCATCAGTAACAGCATCATCAGCATCATAATCATCATCAGCATCAGCTGCGTCATCAGCGTCAGCATCATCGTCATCATCATCATCATCAGCAGCATCAGCAGCATCATCACCATCATTATCACTCCCAGCAGCAGCAGCAGCAAAAGCATCATCATCAGCATCATCAGCATCATCATCAGTATCAGCATCAGCATCATAAGCACCATCATCAACATCATAATCATGATTATCAGCCTCATCATCAGCATCAACAGCACCATCATGATCATTATCGGCATCCGCACTATCAGCAACGTCATCAACATCAACGTCATCATCATCAGCATCATCATCAGCAACATCATCATCATCATCATCATCATCATCATCATCATCATCATCATCGTCGTCATCATCGGCATCATCAGCATCATCATCACCATCTGCAGTATCATCATCATCATCAGCAGCAGCATCATCAATGTCAACATCATCATCATCATCATCATCATCATCATCATCAGCAGCAGCAGCAGCATCAGCATCATCCTCATCATCATCATCATCATCCTCAACATCATCATCAGCAGCAGCATAGCCATCACCAGCAACATCCTCATCAGCATCATGATCAGCATCAGCATCATCATCATCATCAGCATCGTCGTCATAATCATCAGCATCATCATCAGCATCATCATCAGCATCGTCGATATCAACATCAGCATCATCATCATCACCATCATCGGCATCAGCATTATCCTCATCAACATCATCATCCTCATCAGCATCAGCATTATCACCATCATCACCATCATCATCAGCAGCATCAGCATCATCAGCATCATAGTCATCAGCATCATCGGCATCATCAGCAGCAGACGCATCATCATCATGAGCATCAGCATCAGCATCATCAGCAGCATCGTCATCATAATCAGCATAGTCATCATCATCAGCATCATCAGCAGCATCGTCATAATCAGCATCAGCATCAGCATCATTCTCAGCAACATCGTCGTCATCATCAGCAGCCTCATCATCATCAGCAGCAACATCATCTCATTATTATCGTCGTCCTGCGCGTCCTCCTTCCGAGCTGTGAAGATGTCTCAAGCGAAACGGCCCGGACCACCAAAGTGTTTGAAGGTGTCTCTGCGGGGCGGTCCCTCGACTGCGGAATAGGGTAGCCGCCGACATGCCAAACCAGGTCACGCCATAAGAGAACGGCAGGGGCTAGAACGGCAGGGGATCTTTGACCGCCGTGGGTGGAAATATGATGCCGAGGCTGTCCAGATCCACGCGACCAACTTGCAGATCAACGAGAAGACGAACCAGGATGAGCTCGGGCCAAACGAGACCTCGCAGGTGCAGCGCCTCATGGCTGCTAGACTGCAGCTGTCGATACTGCAGTTTCAGACAGCGCTCACCGCGCACCAGCTCCAGAGGCGCAGAGCCTCAGAGCCAGTGCACGTGGGAAGGAGAAGGAGGGCCAGGAAAAGCTCATGGCCCATGGCGGGCAACGTCC